CTTTGTGATGAACTTACCCTTGTTGATTGCCAAGTATATTCCCAAACCATGCCTCTCACCTACTGAGTTTTTTTATGCTATTATATCTGCCACAGATTCTTCAACCTATTATATTGTATGTCAGTGGGTTCTGTATTTTACTTTTTCACTTAATTTCTCTTGTTGCTAGGTGGCTGTCAACATTTTTAGGAACTTGTCACTTAAAGCACAAGTTCTTTGGCTAATTGTCCAATTGTGACAGTACTTATTGAATTGTCTTTGGCCATCTTCATGTACGTGCATAAATATTAAAGACATTGTTGCATACAAACACACACATAGGACAAAGCCTTTATGCTTTGAACGTTGAGATGGTTCTGGTTGCAGTTATTAGTGTTGAACTGATTGGTGATGGTGGAAATGTGTTAGTAAAACTAGAATACTAGATGAAGTTCATCTATTTTTTAATCCTTTTAATTTTAATTATTGGTGGTTCTGATAATTAATTACTAAGGATAGCTTTGATTGTGAAGCAATGCTTGATTGATTGCTTCAACTCTTTTGTATGTTTTGTCATATATCCTTGTCAATGTTTTAATGGTAAACTTGGCCCATGACCATGTGCAGCATCCTTTGGTTCTAAGGTTTTGTGATATATCCTTGTCATATTTTGGTTTCATTTTATTTTTCAGGTGATGATGGACCAGCTTCAAATGAAATGCTTTATTGGAGCTCTGTGGCTATGCTAATGGTCTCAGTGTTTACTATAGAAGATTCAATTATTTTGATTTTGTTTGTCTTCTAAGTGAAACATTTGAACTATTATTCAATCGTATTCAGTTATTATACTATTGACCATTGGACTCTTGCTTGTCAAAGAAATGACTTTCATTTACATTTTTGGAGGTTCAGAAATCAGCATATGCATTCTCTGAATTGCCTAATAAAGCATGGATTTGATCTTATGACTAAGGAAATGATGAGACATCAGTAATTTTAAATCAAATTTTAGTGTTACCTATAAGAATTAGGCCAAGTCAGTGTTTATTAATTTAAAAATTTTGATTTGATGTCATGGAAAGAAGTGTAAACTAAAAAATAATCAAAGTTTAGCACCCAAATATTTTTTATGGAGAATCAAAATATATTTTGGCCTTATTTTGCTTGAATGGAGGTTCTGTCTAATAGTTGTGGCCATATGCTGCAGCTAGCATCCATAGGTTATGCTTTTTCATTTTCGTCTGTGAGGCGTCAAGCAAATTCAATGGCCCATCATCTGGCTAAATCTGATTTCTAAATAAATTTAAGAAACTATATGAGAAAAGAAGTAGGACTTAGATTCAAAGACAGATTATTGACGCTGGACATGCTCTTAGTGTTGACACCATTTATTTTGGTGATATTTAAGTGTTTTCATTACCAAATTTATAAATGATGAAATTTCTTTATTTGTGGCAGATTTTTATTAGTCACAAAAATTTACCTAATTTATAGTGACTAATATTGTTGTAACTAATTTATTTATTTTTTAAAATTAAATTGTTGATTAACTGTGACAAAAAATTTTGTTACATCTTGTGAATTATTTTAGTAACAAATCACATATAGTCACAAAATATATTTGTTACAAATCATAACTTTAGTCACAAGAAAAAAAGAGCATTTGTGACATAAATTTCTCTTTTGTAACTTCCATTTTTCAAATAACTAATAGTTAATTTATTTGTGCTAATTTTGTCCGTCACAAATTTAACTAGTTTATTGTGACAAATTTTTAGTGACTAAATATTATTTCTGTGTCCAAATTATATATTATAATATTACAAATTAATATTAGTGATTATTATCTTAAATTAGTCACAAATAGAAAAAATACTAGTGACTAATTGATAATGAATCACCATTTTCAATCACATAAAACTCATTTTCTTGTAGTCTATGTACCTAGTTATACTGACGAAAATGGGTGTTCAATTTTATCTTTTAGGAAAAGAGGAAGAGCTGTCAGTAGAGATGCACACCCAGCTTCAAAACATTTAAACTGTGTGCTCTAATTTTTGGTTTCACCAATTTTTGTTCTCCCACCCTCCAATTACCCAACTCAAAAATTTTCCAATGGATAGCATGGAAAGCCCAAATATTGTTCACAGAATAGGATCCAATGGCACTTCGTGCACATTTTCATCGAGACAATGATTTGTTGAGGACGTGTACTTGACAACGATTCTCACAGCATGACGGAGATAAAATGACAAAATTCCAGTGGAAGGTCCCACGTTGGACTCCTTCCAACAATGATGTGTTACAGACTTTCATCACTCGCGTGGTTCCACGTTGG